GTCCAAATACGCGGTCATTCCCTTTTTTGTGGAACCAAGGACACGTAGAGAAAAATGGCATTTCCCAGAACAATGTCTGGAGGTCATTCATTAGCAACTGAGTACAGTGAGTGACATGACACTCCCCAGGAGAATACACAGATGTGGTCAGAGAGGAAGACAGCAGAGCAGACAGCGGCACTCAGACTGGGGGGACAGACACTCCCATCATTCCCACTCCACTCCCATGTCAGCAATGCCCCAAGGAAAGGGAGGGTCAATGGTTTAGCCCTCCCCCTCCTAAAGTCCCACCCCCCCACACACATCCCACTGACAGCTGGAAGAGGAAATAGATGACAGAGGTGACAAGTGACATAAAGATAATCAAGAAGCCAAATCATGAGGGCCATAAAGCAGTCACCCTCATGGGTCTGCTTTACTACAGCTCATCCTGACCTCCTGGAGGTCATGGTATTAGTCTAAAATAGTACTGGGAGGGAGGGGCTGGAGATGGCTCAGTGGTGTGGAATATATGTTGCACTTGTAGAGGACCTGAGTTTGCTTCCCAGTAACCACATTAGGAGGCCAACAACTGCCCACCATAACTCAAACTCCAGTGGATGCCCTCTTCTGCCCTCTATCTGCACCTACATTCATGTACACACAAGTGTATACATACATACACACACACATACACACACACACTTTTTCAGAAAACATCTTCAAAAAAAAAAAAAGAAAGAAAGAAAAAAACAAAACAGAACAAAGTCACAGCCAGACAAAGTACCATCTGCCTTTCTAGCACAGGCTGGCTCTCTCTCTTTCCCAAAGCCTATCCAGCCAGGTCTGCCTAGAAGTATCACAAGTCAGAAAGAACCCTGGGGGCTTGGCAGCTATTTCTCACAAGCTGCTGCCTCTCTCACATGATCTAGCAAGCCTCATGGTATGCCAAATATACAAACATGGCAATCAGAACATTCCTTAGCACTCTGTCTAATCCCAGCCTGCCACTGGCCATGACCTGATTGCCTAAGCAGCCTTCAGAGTGCCCTCACTTGAGGTCTATGGAAGTCAAAATACAAAGGAACACAAAAGATTTTGCTTTTGGTTTTGGGCTTGCTATGTGGCCCAGGCTATCCCCAGCACACTATGTAGTGAGGCTAGTCTCCCGTTTGCAATCCTCCTCTTTTGTACTACAATTAGAGGTATAAATCACCTATCATGTCTGACTCAAAAGAGTTATATGATATGAGCAAGCACTGGGCTAAAGCACATTGTATCTTCCCCAAAAAGGAAGATTCCCCTAAGGTTTTACCACAGGCAGCCTACACCACAGTCAGCAGTTCACAGGAACTTCAGGTGAAGAGTCATGAGGAGGAACTATGTCCGTTTTGAAAGGGTCATAATATGGCCAAGCTGGGAGAGGAGACTGTGCTTCCAGCAGGAATGGAGCCAGCCAGAGAACTAGGGGCAGGGGGTCCCGAGTGTGGGTATCAATAAGTGAGCAGGACTCAAGGAAAGATACTCCATGTTCCAAACTCTGCAGAGTCCATTCTGGACTGTGGAGGAAATCCATGGTTAGACACGTGGGAATGAGTCTGGCCAGGAACTAAGGATCAAGGTCCAAAATGAGGCACAAAAATGTTAATTGTCCCTTGTACCAAGGGAAGGAGGAGAGGTCACCTCTACTTCAGGGGTTTCACAGAGCAAATGAGGTAAAGGAAAGAGGCTTAAAATATATCCAGAGAAAGCCGCTGGGGGAGGCCCATGCACAGAGTAAGCAGAGGCACAAGGAGGAGGAGACAAGTGTCCAGATGAGGACAACAGCCTGTGGCATGCTGTATGAAGGGTGACAAGGAGAACTGGCTGGAGGTAGGTCAGGACTAGACTCAGGTGGCATCACACACGCTAAGGTTTCAGATCACTCAGGCCCTCGCCCATGGCAGGGGAAGTTGTTGAAGGCTTTAAGGTAGAGACGTGACATGGGCAGGGCCAGAAAGATGAGGAAACAAAGGTGACAGAAGCAATGTAAGTGATGCTAGGAAAGTCTCCCAGCTGCTGACACTGGGATAAAGCACTGCAGCGGTTATGACTGTTTGTAATTTTTATGATGGATACTCTCTAAAGCTTCTTACCTCTGTCTTTCATTCTTTCTTTGTCTTTTTTATTTAAGGCTGGTGCTACCAGGTAGCAGCCTTTCTATTACCTGTTTTTGTTCTTTTCTAACTGAAGTATGAGCGACAAAATGCATTCCCTGTTTGCTATATGACACCTTAACATTCATTTCCACACCAAGGTCCATCCCAGTCACACCAAGGGCCATCCCAGTGCTGGACTTAGCCAGATACCTATGTGTCAGAGTAGGACCCATGACACCAAGTAGGCTATGCTGAGACTCTAGCAGGACCCACATACATATGGCAAGAGGAGAGACAGAATCCCAAAGGATACCCTCGCCCCTCTCTGCAACAATTGGGGAGCACCTCCCACACTCCCCTCCAGCACACTTATGTTGAGCTTTAAGTTTCATAGTGACTGGAGGGGCCTACATTGAACAAGGTTAACAGACAGTATAAAGCATAAAAACTCACTAGACTTAGGACACAATCCTTCTCCTAAAGAAGTTTATAAGGCATGGCCCCTGAGTCTTCTGAGAGCCTGTTGTCTCACACCGATATACATTATCTTTTAACCCCATAGAGGCCCTAACATGTGGGAGGCAAGACCCTGACATTGGTACTACACTGGACTAAAGCAGGAGGCAGGAAGAACAATAAGGAATTTATCAGCAAGGTACCAGGCAGAGGCAACATGCAAAGGCTTACATGGCCTGCCCATGATCACAGACTGGGAAGTGGTTCTCCTGGTGTGGGGCTCACTCACAGCCCTGGATACCAGACTTTGAGAAACACACTAGGAAGAGGATAAACAGCCTCAAGAAGAGCTATTGTGGCCCAGTGGGGGGACATTATTGGGAATCTAAGTGGGGTTTAGTTGCAACCCACTGTTATTTATGTGACCAGTACTTATCTCTACTGGTTACCGCTTCTCTCTGACACAGAGCAGAATCTTCTACTCCCTGCCCTCTAGGGTCTAGGCAAGTCCTAGCAAACAGTGACGGGGAAGTATATTATTTTTTCGCTTTGCTTCAAGGCTGGCACGGCACTCAAGTTGAGGATACATGAATGCTTGGCCTTCTACCTCGGAGCTACACCCCCAACTCCTAAAAAAGATTCCTTTTCTGATTCTAAGGTACAAGTGGGGTAAAAGGAGAATGGGGAGTTCCTAGTATCCCAGGGGAAGTAAGGTGGAGGCAGAGAGTGGGTAATTTAGGGTTGTTTTCTCCAAAATGTGACTCATAGAACACTCATCACTGGAGATGATTCTTGGAAAATAGCTGTCTAGACTAGCTAAGGAAGTGCTTCCGGAGGTCAGAGGGTGCTGGTGCATGGAAGGTTCTAAAACAATGAGGTCTGCCTTCCTCGCATTTAGGAACTCCTGTACTGGATATACCAGAACACAGCCTTCTCTCCTTCCTCTGAGCTTCAAAAGCATTAGACAGTCATTGTCCAATCACACACTTCTGCTTATTTGTTTGTTTGTTTTTTGAGACAGGGTTTCTCTGTATAGCACTGGCTGTCCTGGAACTCACTCTGTAGACCAGGCTGGCCTCGAACTCAGAGATCTGCATCTGCCTCTGCCTCCAGAGTCCTGGGATTAAAGGCGTGCGCCAAGAACTTAAAAATAATAAATCAAATAAATAAAAACGAAAAACACTGCTTTTTTTCAGTATGCTGAATGAGCACTACTGTTTCCCCATGAATATAACTTTTCTCAAGTTTATCCCCAATACTGAGATTCATGGATATACTGTAATGTAGGTGTGCTGATGAGCCTGGCTTACCTGGGTGCCAAGTTTCACTGAAATGTGTTTGGAAAGACTGTTTGTCTCTTTACTTCAACATAAACTTTGAACCTGCTTGAGGTAGTAAGATTGCTACTATCTTTTATCTTTTTTTTTTCTTTTGCTTCCTTTATTACATCAGGGAAGCCGGGACAGCTGAGAGCTGCCTCAGTTACAGGGGTGCTGAAAGAACTGTAAGATCTGTTGTCGTGAAGCTTCCAGACTACTTTAGGAAGGTGAAGACTTTGCTACAAAGCAGTTTGTTTACAATTTAAAGTAGCATGTGAGTCAGGTGGTGGCATACCTATAATCCCAGCACCCAGGAGGCAGAGGCAGGTGCAGAGCTCTGTGAGTTCGAGGCCAGCCTGGTCTACAAAGCGAGCTCCAGGACAGCCAGGGCTACACAGTGCAACCCTGCCTCAAAAGAACCTTTAAAAAGGTTTAGATCTATTTGAATCTGGGTTGTGGTGATAGAGGCTGGTAAGTTTTCAGCATTTGTATCCTAAGTAGATGAGAGCCTGACACACAATCTGAGGTGTAGCGGGAAACTCAGCCTAGTCCATATCGCTCTCTGAGGCTCTAGAATAGGACTCTCGCAGACTTTTCACCCACGGCTGGCTGTAGAGACATACATATGGTCTCTTAAGGATGCCCCAGAAGAATGATACTGACTGCCAAGCTGGATAAATTTCAAAGTTGCCCCAAAATAATCTGAAACAAAAATGGATTGTTTTGGAGTGATTATTATTATTATTATTATTATTAGCAGCAGCAGCAGCAGTAGAGTAGTAGGAAGAAAACTATAGTAACCTAAAAATGGTAAATAATCAGTGTTTTACTTTGCAATCATCGGAGATATCTTTTTCTTTCACTTCTGCTGGAAGGTTACCTCTAAAAAGCCAAGCACGCCCCATCTATTTCTCTTAGTTAACAGAGCTAATAGCAACAAGGGAGCATACCATTTGGCACTTAGCTCATTGCACTGTTTAAAGGACAGCAGCAGTGACAGAGTTGGTACGTCCTTGTAAACTGAGATCACCCCCTTCCCTCAGCTCTCACTGAGCACACATTTGTGTGCCTGAGTTCCACCTCCCTTGTCCCAGGTCCCAAACCTCACCTGATTGATGACGTAGATGCCATAGTCGAGCTGCTGGCGCTGAAGGACTGGGTGCAAGTAATAGAGCCAATATTTGAGGTGCTCCTGCCGGTTACGGAATGGGATAATGATGGCCACCTTGTGAGGAGAGGTACAGTCCTTGGGGGAGTAACGGCCACCCATCTTTATCTCTGGGTTCTTCTTTGCCAAAAGCTCCAGGTCCACAGGAATATTAAAGTCAATCACCATGGGGCCAACTAGAGAGGTGGAAGGAAGAAGTTAGCCAGCCACAGGGTCCACTCTGCTGCAGACTGCATTAGCTGACCAGACCACAGCTACAGAGGGGACAGCTCCTCCTTCTAGAAGAGGGAGGAGACAGGGTGCTTAGAAAAAGCATTCATGCCCAGCCCTAGTGTGACCAGTCAACTTAGGAAACCTTGTTCCAGGAACTCCCAGTCCTGGGCAAACCCATACAGTTAGTTACCTGCGGAGCATTTCCTATTCAAGAGATCCTCCTCCTCGGACTGCATTATAAGACTGAATCAGTTTCTGCTCAGACCACTTGACTGCTATGGTACAGCCCGGTGAGCACAGATGAGAAAACACTTTCTCAGAAATCCTGAGCTTTGCCACCTGCCATCTGTGTGGTTTTAGACAAACGACTAACACGGCTTTTTCTAAACCTAATCTAACTGAGGAAAGGGAAGGAGCAGGTGTGGTGTGGGCGAATCACTGTAGAGGAAATCAGAGTCAAAATGAAGACAGCGGGGGAGTAGAGGGGACTCAAAGGAGAAGGCTGGAGGCCCCAAGATCCCAGAGTAAAAGGAGGAGACACAAAAGGAATGAGCTAGAAGGATCATTCAAAGAAAAAAAAAAAGCTTAGAAATATGGCTGATAAAGTAGCAGTGTGAACTGAGAAGGTGAGGTCAGGATGGCTCCAAAGTTCTTGTCCTGGAAGAAGAAGTCAGAGAAATGGGTCAGTAAGAAAGTGCTTGGCTCAAAAGACTAGGGGAAGGCAGACAGCAGATTCTGACATGGTCAGGGACAGAGGGAAGAAAAGAGCCTGTGGATGCACAAAGTGGTCCAGACAGAGACCCAAGACTGTAAGCCCAGGCTCACAGTACTCCACGATCCTCAGACATCCTCAAAATAGGTTCCAGAGACATGAGCCCAGCAAGATGCTCAGTAGAAAAACTACGCTCAGGACAAGTCAGGATGGGAGCTGCACAGATTAAATCATGCTTCTGGAAAGCATCCAAGGGCACTGGAAAAACTGTGCAGCCACAAAGCCCCTCGAGGTTCTCTACCTCACAATTTCCTAACTACATCGTCACTAAACTGACGTCATTTGGGGAACTGTTATTCTGCGGTGTCTAGCTTCACATGGCAAACAAATCAGGCACTAGAACTCTGGGAGGAAGCCACAGAAGGTGGGACACTAAGCAGATCAGAGTCACCTGAAACACATGAATGACAAACACTCATTTGTCCCCATCTCTGTGCAGGCTACAGTCTGTCCTTTTGATTAAAACAACAACACAAACAACAACAACAACAACAAACAAAGTAGCTCATATCCCTAGGGTGCAGCTGTCTTCCTAAAATCTACCTCTAGCAAAGGAAGCCATGAGCCTGTCCCCTGTCTGGTAAGCGTTTCTGGACAGCTGCTATCTTCTCTCCCTCTCTGGGGATCCTCTTCCATCTTATCTCCCTGCTCCTTCACCACAGGACCTGCCTCCATTCGTTCACTCTCTTCTGAGACACAGTACTGATCAAATCACCTTCGTGGTGAAAGTTGTGCGGCCTGGCACACAATGAGGCCAAGCACTCAAGCCGTCTTCCCAGGCTTGGTTGACTATTTCTTTAGCCCTTCCCACTTCCTTGAACCAGCTAACTTTTGCATTGACAGACAGGCATTCATCCTTTGAGTCTCTTGAGAAACAGAGCTTAGACAAGGAAGGACAGCCTCAAACTCAAAAGAGCTGTGCCTTGAATCCAGCCTGTGGCCTCCCTTTTGGAGGTCAGGGGTTTTGCAGAACCAGTTCTTAACAATACTGCTATTGTCCCAGCCAGCTCTGACCTCCCAAGAAGCCCTGAGGTGAGCAGGCACTCTCTCTGCTTGAGGACAGTGTTAGGGGTCACCTGGTACAGCAGATCTCAATCCTATCAAGAGGATCTCCTAAGGACACTGCCACAAACACACAGTCTCAGTCCAACTCAGCTGATCTTGGGTGGGACATTAACAAAAAGCTCAAGAGACTGTGGGTTCAGTGTGTCCATGTGCTGTGTATGTATGTACCTACGGGTGTGTACAGGGCTGTGAGTCTGAAGTCAGAGGTCAACACTGTTTTTTCCCCCTTGACTGCTTTCCATTGTAATTTTTGAGATAAGTTTTCTCACTGAACCTGGAGCTCAATGACTTCGCCAGGCTGAACTCTAGGGATCTGCTTGTCTCTGTTCCTGCTCCCTGCCCCAGCACAGGCGCTACAGATGGATGCTGTCAAACCTTGGAGCTAGGCATCTGCACTCAGGTCCTTATGCTTGAAAGGGAGGCACTTTACCGACTGACTCATTCCAGACCCCAAATAACTCTTACTAGTAAACTGGACAACAGAGAACTTGGTGGTACATTTTCACAAGCCTTGAACCTTCAGACAAGAAAGGTCCTTAGAGATTCCCAGTCTTGCTCACGAGACTCACTAGGCTTAGGAGCTCAATTCCCCAACCCTAAGACAAGACCTCTGGGAGATGCCAAGGTACACTGAACTCAGGACCCATCACTGGGTTCTTCTTTCTTCAGGAGGCCCCATGCCATCCGTAGGGGCATTGAAAAACATAAACCCTATTGACAAGACCCCAAGGGGCATCTGGATTGCCTTCCTACCGGCTTGCTTATACTTTCTGAAACCAACCCAGAAAACAGGTGTTCACATGTGTCTGCCAAGCCTCCACAGGTATACATACCAGCAGGGCGAAAAGTGTCCTGTGTTGCCCCTGTGGAAAGATGCTGAGGTAAAGAGCCTCAAATAAGAGAGGGGAGCCTGTACCCTAGTGCGGCCGCATCAGTGGTTTACTGGATGACCCTTGGTCATCTTAATTAACACACCTCAGATAACACCTACTCAGGATACCCTCTGGCACCTACTGTCTAACTTATCTGTCCTCCAGACATGGGCATTGATCATTTCTATCTACTCCCATTCATAAATTATAAATATTGGACCAGATGAATTCTAGTCCCAACGGCTCAGAGTGCTGGTTAAAACTGGGAAGAACAGACCCCAAACTAGGATCTTCTGAAAACCCTTTTCTGGTCTTTCTTGCTCCCAAGATGGCATAAATGACCAAGCAGAAAGGAAGAAATGAATATCCTAGATAGATAGAAGGGTAGGAAGAAACCTTAACTACCCAGCACCATGTCCACTCATGTCTCTCCTACCTGTCAACTATGCTTTCTCGGCCTCTTTCCTTGGTAACAATCATTGTCCCTTTTTCACCCAGGTGAAATAACCATTCTCCAAATTCTGTTTCCATTTCCCATCTCTCTGCTCACTACCTAGGTGCACAGACACCTTAATTAACCCACCTCAGATAACACCAGTCAGAATACCCTCTGGCACCTACTGTCTAACTTATTTGTCCTCCAACGATCCCTTGCTGCAACACTGCTGTCTACCCAGCCAGGGAGCAGACATGGGCAGTCTATCTTCATTCCCACCTCTTCCTACTCAACTCCAATTCATTCATTCATTCTCTCTCTCTCTCTCTCTCTCTCTCTCTCTCTCTCTCTGTTTCTGTCTGCCTCTGTCACACGAATGCATGTATGTGACATACACACACACACACACACACACACGGTATCAATAATGCTGACCAAGTCCCTGGGACCCTACCAAGAACGAACCAGCCTTTATTCTGAAGCATTTGTTTCATTCAAACGCTCCTTGTAGTTGATAAGTCAAGAACATTTGTGTCAGTCAGGGCTTTCTGGGTACCAAACTGAGTGCCAATTTGTATGCCAGCTAAAGAAGGGTGAGCTGAGGGAACTGGAGAAAGAGCCCAGACAAGAATATTCTCACCTCCCAGAAGCTCCTTATTGGATATGTAGTAAATCTAAATGAAAACACTCTGGTCACCAGCTGACCAAGGATGTGCTCTTCCAATGGCTCCACAGAGCTTGGCCACTGATGAGCCTTTCTCACGCCCATCCTCCCCTCCTCACCCCTCTCACAGCTCATCATGTCCCCAATACATGGAGAGTACCTCACCCCACCCCCACCTCTCTGACACCCCCACATTCTGGGAATCCTGCAGCTCACGCCTCTCCAGTGAAGAGTGTGCAGCAGCAGCAGGCCCATAGGTGATTGTCTCCTTCGCTCCTCAGCCAGGAAGCTGCAGACCTCCTGCCTGCCATACTGTAGGGCTAGCCTCCACTGCACACCCAGCTCTACCTCAATGAGAAAAATCTGAGAAACTCGACTCTGAAGTGGACACTTAAGGGTTCTTTGGAAAGTCGGTTAGATAGTGTTTTATTGGGGCAAACACATAAAGGAATGTTTCGATGAAGCAGACACAGGAGAGGATGTTCTGCTAAAGCAAGCATGTGAAGGACATGTGATGAAGGATTCTTTGAGACACCATAGAGAGAAATGCACCAAAAAACTTCTGGTTTTTGCTGCTTCCAAGGACCAGGGTTGATTGGATGCATGTGCTGAGGCAAGGCACGTGGAGGACACATGATGTGTGGAGAGAATAAATAAGACGCCACAGAGTGACAGAGACAGAGCTTGGCTTGCTGGTAGAGCTAGCTGTGCAACGCTTGTGGGTCTCAACTCTTCACTGATCTTCCCTGAAAGGGATACAGCTAGAGAACTTCTCCTGGTGTTCCTGTTGGTTCCTCCTGCTGACTCAAGGAGGCCTGGCTGTCTCTGCTAGTTGTGTCACCACTGTTGCTAACCTGACTCTACTGAACTGGACTGCTGGTGTATCTGTGAGGTGTTTTCGAGTGGATCGAGCTGCCGCTGCCTGCTGACCTGTGAAGTGAACTGCCAATTTCTAGACAACACAGACGGGAGTTGTTCCAAAGAACCTTTCTAAACAGGTCCACTTCCCGGATCCTTTCTTTTCCACTACCTCTGGTGGTTGGTGGCCCACAAGGAAGATTAAAGTATTTAAGAACCATCATTAAAAGTAGGACTAGAAAAAAGTAAAGTTACAAGACTCCAGGCAGGCAAGGATTGATACCATTCACAAACAG